GATGACTTACTTCTCACCACAGGGGACCGACTCTTTGTGCCCCGGTGGGGCAACTTACGGAAGGAGCTCATACGGGAGTGTTATGACACCAAATAGGCTGGTCACCCAGGTATGCGGCGCACGCTAGCACTCTTAGAAGATTCTTACTATTGGCCTCAGATGCGTAATGATGTGGAAGCATATGTGAAGACTTGTCTTGTGTGCCAACAAGACAAGATAGAGTAACAGCATCCCGCAGGCTTACTAGAGCCCCTACCTGTTCCAGAGAGACCATGGGAGAGTGTCTCTATGGATTTCATCACTTGCTTGCCCAAGTCAGAGGGTTGCGGGAGCATTATAGTGGTGGTAGATCGGTTCAGCAAGTATACCACCTTCATACCCGCACCAGCAGATTGCACGGCAGAGAGGGCAGCAGAACTATTTGTTAAACATGTGGTCAAGCTTTGGGGAGTGCCGCAGAACAATGTCAGTGACAGAGACCCGCGTTTCATGGGTAGGTTTTGGACGGGACTCTTCAAGAAGATAGGGACGGATCTCAGCTTCTCTACAAGTTTCCACCCCCAATCAGATGGGCAGACGGAGCGCATCAATGCTCTCCTGGAGCTATACTTGCGGCACTATATAAGTGCCAACCAGCGAGATTGGGCCAAACTCCTTGGGGTGGCACAGTTTTCTTACAACTTGCAGCGGAGTGAGGCTACCAATCACAGTCCATTTGAGGTTGTTACCGAACGGCAGCCTATGACACCCAACGCCATTGCTTCGACTTACGATGGCAAAAGTCCGGCGGCCTACAAGTTTGCCAAGAGGTGGCACAAGCAGTCCAACTTGGCTAGGGCATACCTTAACAAGAAGGCAAAGAAGATGAAGAAGTGGGACGACACCAAACGAAGGCAAGTGGAGTACATAGTGGGAGACCAGGTGATGGTTAAGTTACTACCCCAACAATTCAAGTCTCTACGGAGCATGCATAAGGGGCTAGTAAGAAGGTGCGAAAGCCCGTTCCCCATTGTCAAGCGGGTGGGCAAGGTCTCCTACATAGTGGAGCTTCCACCTAAGTTGAAGATACATCCAGTCTTCCACGTTAGCATACTCAAGCCTTATCATGGAGACGCGGAAGACCTAACTCGAGGCATATCGCAAAGAGCACCCACGGCCGTTGACACATCCTTCGACAAGGAAGTTGACTGCATCCTTGCAGATCGTGTGATAAACAGGAGAGGCGTGCCCAAGTATACAGAGTATTTAGTGAAATGGAAGAACCTGCCAGATGGCGAGGCGAGCTGGGAGTATGAGGATACACTTTGGTAGTTCGCGAAGCATATCCAGCGGTTCAAGCAAGAAGACGCGACGAGGGCGTCGCGAGCTTAGGTGGGGGAGAATGTCACGCCACGCAAGAGCCCAGCAGACAATGACATGGAACCTACATGAACCGAGAGCTTTCTAAACTTCTCTACACAAGTATGGAACTTTCCGGAATTCTCTAGAATAGTGTGGAGTTGTCTAATCTCTTCTGGACTTGTCTAGAGTTGTATAGAATTCTCTAGACTTGTCTTGTACATTGTAGATAGTTCTAGAATTGTGTAAATAGTTCTTTGGAGGATTCTAGACACTTATTCTAGGCCACACATTTGTACACATCTAGAATGTTCTTGTAAGGGCCAAAGGCCTATAAATAGGAGGCGGGAGTTCATTTGTTCCTCATTAAGCAACCTAAGTTGTAATCTCCTCTCAAGTAATACAAGTGTTCATACTTTCATCCAAACTCTCTTGTTCACTTGCCTAACTCTCTTCCTACACACTTTAGTAAGTAAAACACTTGTCTAGCCTTAGTCTTTACTAAGCTAGCACACTCAGGTAGGCTGACTTAGCACTTCAAGGGGGCTTGAAAGTATCTAAGGCCGCACGTGAGCTTGGAAAGGTCCAAGTCCGTGACAGTGGCACACTTAATCTGAACATGGATCCGCAATTTTGACCCGTATTCGTAAGACAAAAGCAAAGGAGGTTCGCCCCACAAAGAAACAAGATAATTTCAAAAGAGATCAATCGGCTTTTGGAGGCAATTTTCATAAGGGAAGTACAATATCTCCAAAGGGTTGTCCAATGTAGTAGTGGTGCAGAAGAACGGCAAATGGCAGGTCTGCATAGACTTCACCAACCTCAACAAAGCATGCCCCATCGCTCTATCCCTGATCGGGAAGAAATGATAAGGTCATCTTCATAACGGATCATATTAACTCGATAGCAGAGAAAACGAACCAAGAATGTAAGATCGAGGTCACGCCTCTGATTTAGAACTAGAAGAGTTGAGACGATCCTAAAGAAATTTGGGTTCACCTACAAAGGGGCAAGGTTCAACCTATTTAATACGGCATGGTAGAAGGAATGTAGAGGGGATCTAAGTGTTTCGACTTGGATGGAAGAAAAAATCATTTCGTCACTCCTAATACCCTCACCCTTCTAGTATTTCCTTTACTTGGGATACAATCGGAGGGAGACATCACCCAGGATTTCACACTCCTTCCTCGGCAACCAGAGGTCAACCACATCTTTCTAGAATTGTCTTGGGAGACTACGCTACTACCCCCACTAATGAAGAAAAAAGAACATAAGAGGAATTGAGAACAAGAGAGGAGAAAAGGAGGACTAACCTTACAAAGGGAAGAAACACCAGAGGGGAGCACCGATCACCAAAAGCTCTTCAAAAAGCCCAAGCAAGACCAAAAAGGAAGACTAGATTTGCATAGTACATGTGAAGAAATATATATACATATATATATATATATATATATGCACAGTGATGTGATAGCAATAATGATGCAAACTAAAATGGCGAGACGTACGAAGCCCTAAGCACCAAGTTTCGAGGGAACATAATTGTTGACTGCTCAAAATAAAAGTTAAATCACTCGTCTCCACACCTTAATTAAATTTCCTCCTACATTTAAAATAGAAGGAAAATGGGGGCAAAATGTGGAGGGAAAGTCCCCACCAATGAGAATGCAACAGCTTTGCAATGAAGGACAACACGATTCGTCTGACACGTATCAAAGTTAACAGGCCTATCCTTGAATTGCACTGACTCAAGAAAGTGGACCGAACGTCACATTTAGATTATTGTAAAGAGGGTTCATAGGCCAAATAGAGGCCCAAACCCTAGTAAGATTTGTACCCCAAAGGACAGGGCCCAAGAGGGACCTTGTTAGGGTTCTTGCTTGTATATAAATGAAAGGACCGACACCAAAGAGGAGAGGAGGGGGAGAGAACTTCCAAGGAAAGAAACTCTTCCTCTTCTAAAAATGGAAAATAGGTTGTAGGTATGAGTGAAGGTCCATGAAGCTCTTTTTGGCTGTAAATAGTCAACGAAATTTCTTGTACCTACAATGTTATTTGCTGATGACATCGTTTCCATTGTTGAAACAAGAAAAAGAGTAAGTGGCAAGTGTTGAACTGAAGATTTAGAGGGAAGCTCAAAAGGGTAAGATAAGTAGGAATAATCATAAATATACGGAGTGTAATTTTAGTAAACATACAAAATTACAAATACAAACAGGAAAGTAATCAAGATTTAGGGTCAGGCGGTACAAAAAAGTGAACATTTTCATTATTAAGACTCAATTATTAATAATGACGAGAAATTGGAGATGATTAATCATGGAATCAAGACAAAATAAGTTAAATGGAAGAGTGTATCTTGTATATTTTGTGATCCGCTTATCCAGTTTATATTGAAAAGAAAATTCTATAAACGGCTACTACACCAGCTTTGCTTTATGGGACACGATGTTGTGTAGCTAAGAAATAACATATGCATAAAGCGAGTGTGGCAAAAATGCGAATGTCGCGATATATTTGCGGCATGACAAGAAATGATAGAATTATAAATAAGCACATCTGTGAAATAATTGAAGTAGCTCCAATTGGAAATGATTTGATTCAAAAAAAAAAAAAAATGTTTAATATGATTTGGATATGTGCAAAGAAGATCACTAAGTGCGCCAATTAGGAAGAATGACTGTTCATGTTCAGTGTAATGCTAGGGGAAGGGGAAGGAGAAGACCAAAGTTAATGTGAGTAGAGGTAAAAAGGGAGAACATGTTAACATGTGGTTCAACAGAGGGGTTTTGGTCCTTTTGGATGGACGAGATGGAAAAATAAGATTCATGCAGTAGACTTCAAGTAGTTGGGAAAAAGGTTTTGTTGAGTTAAGTATGGCAAATAACATGGAATGATATAAACCCAATTTCAATAAACTAATCTTTTGTTTAAACTTTTAAATCTTCATTTCAAATCCATTGATTTATCCAAATGGAGCCTAAATTTTACAAGGGCAAACTTAAAAAATAAAGAAAAATCAAATCAAAACCAACATAAAACCGTGAAAAATAAGAAATTTGTCCATCCTTACTTTTATCCTTGAGAACAAAGTCATCAACACGAATTTTTTTCTACTACAAGTTATTTCCCCTGTTATATTTTAATTTCTTATAATCATTTCTAATAACTTCATCCCATGTGAATTTGATTTGTCTCTTCATCTCTTACCTTCTATACATGTTAATCTTCCTCTTCCACGAGTGCATCTACAGGTATGCATTACTTTATACTACTGAAGTCTACTTTCTCTTGTTTTATTACCAATTGGCATCACTTTCTAAATTCTCTCTCACAATTTGATTATTAATCATATCTATTCTAAGCAATACTATCAGTCTTAACATTAATGAATCCAGAGTTGTTTCAATTACCCAAACTAATCAATTTTTTTGTACTCCTTGGCATCACTTTCTAAATTCTCTCTCACAATTTGATTATTAATCTATCTATTCTAAACAATACTATCAGTCTTAACATTAATGAATCCAGAGTTGTTGTTTCAATTACCCAAACTAATCAATTTTTGTGTACTCATTAGCATTAATAATACAAGAGAGTAGAAAAAGAAAAAAAATAAATAAGTTTGTAGCAATTCAGAGGTTATAAATTGGAAGAAGAAATACCCGAAGATTGAATGATGATAGGAGGAGACTCGAGCTCGCGCCAACTCATCAACCCGAGGCAATTTCTTCTTTTGAGAAACTTTGCCTCGTAAAACTTTGTGATTCGATCATCATCATCAATTGATGCTGCCTCTAGAGTAATAAAGTCAATTGTGCCATGAACCATTAGCCACTTGGCGCTTACTACCCGCACAAACTCAACCCTTTTTGAATCGTCTCTTCTTGCGTCATTGATAATGGATACTGCGAGTTGGGCGAGAAAAATCCGACGATCATCTTTGTGAGCGTCCGGGACGTCCAAGGGTTCTCTCATATGTTGATTCGCGTAGTTGAGTCTGACAAGTTCCTCCAGAGTTATTTTACTATGGATCCAAGTTTCCCTATCGGGACATGGACATTGGACATTGGGCCCTAAGGTTGTACCGGTGGTAGCGGTGGTGGCGGGAGAGGGCAGAGAATGGCAGAGATGGCGGTTGATTAAACCGAACGTGATGCTTGCTTTCTTCGTGTTCCACTGATTTCTGCGGAGAAGAAGCCGTAGAGCCATCAGACCACCACTTTTTTTGGGCTAGGGTTTGGTTTTCTTTTTGGTTAGGGTTAATTACAATGATACCCCCTGAGGTTTGGGATATTTACATACATATATAAGTTAGCCATTTTTTGAACACTCACACCCTCTGTTCGAAATTTTAATCCAAACAAGCCCTTAAAAGTTATGAAAAGACGAGATTACCCTTCAGTAAAATATCAATTATTAATCTAAAATATCAAAATATACATATGACAGAACTACCCTTTTTAAATTTCTACCCTCTGCTCCGAAAAAACCCAAACTCGATGACCGATGTCGCGCCGCCACCGCCGTTGCAGTTCCGAGCTCCGCGCCGTGTCGCGCTGCCACCGCCGGAGTTCCGAGCTCTACGTTGAGGACTGACGAGGATGCCATCGAGCCATTATAGGAATAGTGAAGCAGAAAATCGTCGCCGGAATCGCGACTGATTCCTCATTGCCGGCTCGAATTTTGGCCCTGCAACGTCGCCAACAAAAACTCCGGATACTCTCCTGCAATGGCCTCTGCCCGAACCCTCACCGTCATCTATTTTTAGCAAGAGGGAGACTTGGTAGGATGAAGCAACAGCCGAGAATAGCGGTTATGATGGATCCGGCGAGGATGGGTTGGCGGTGAATTCTGCGAGGATGAACTCGGCCTCGGCTTTGGAGAGCTCGACTGGAGGAGAGCTTAACTGTGGATGGCTCAGCCGTGGAAGACTCGCGGCGGCTGGTGAGGGCGCGGCCGGTGAGGGCTCGGCGGTGATGAAGACAATCTCGGTTGTGGGTGACGGGAAGACGGCCTCGGCTGTGGGTGACGGGCTAATAGCACTGAACGCTGGTGGATAGCTTGGCTGGACGAAATCAGCGGCAATTGGCTCAGTTGACTTCAGAACGGCAGTGACGGGCGCAGCTGACTGATAGCGGTGGTGATAGGCTCTGACTCGTCCGAGTTGGACTTGGTCGAGTTCAATGGCTGTGCTCAGAAGGATCTATAGAAGAGAGCTCGGAAGGTAATACAACCGGGTTCAATGGCTGCCTCTATCCTATGCTTTGTATGTATATATATATATAGATATATGTGTGTAATTACCCTATTGTTTTGTATGTATGTATATATAAATATATGTGTGTAATTTTGAATTGTAGGGTTTGTGTGATGGTGGTGGAACAATGAAGAAGATGGTGGTTGTTGAGGTTAGGGTGGTGATGAGTGGTGGTTGTGTATATCGGCTAAGGTTACTTTGGTCATTTTACGTGGTCAAAGGGTAAACATGTACTTTCATCTAGTTTGGGGTGTCATTGTTTAAAGTTTACAAACTTGAGGGGTCTTATTGTCTAAAAAAAAGCTAACTTATATATGTCTGTCAATACGATAAACCTCAGGGGGTCTCGTTGTAATTAACCCTTTTAGTTATTTAGTACGATATCTCCGTCTGTCAATTTTAAAAATTTGACTCGTTATCACATTTTATTTTTAAATTATTTGATGTGATTTTTAGTTATATTTATTTAATATATTTCTATACCATCTATATTTCATACTAAAAATCTATTCCAATAATTTTGACTAATAAAAATTATGAGTTAAAATTTTTGAACTTAACAATTAATATGAGACGGAGATAGTAAATATTAGTTTGTAAACTGATCGTATAGCACTCATAAATAGTCATTAAAAAGCAGATAAGTTATACAAAAAAAAATAGTAATAATAAAATAAAATAAATAAAAATTATTTTTTGAAATAACAACTTAACAAGAAGCCAAAAAATGGAGATTTAGTGACATAATCAAAACTTATATAGTCTTTAACAATATTTCAAAAATAATTTTATAAAAACAAATGAAAACATATGAAGCAAAAATATTAAGTTTTAGTTTTATTTTTTTTGGTGGTAGGAGTTATTCCAAAATAAAAACATGTTTGCAATCTAAATTGTTGAACATAAAAAAAAATGTTCAAATTATTGTTAAAAATGTATTTATATTATATTATTTTTTGAAAAAAAAAAATCCTCATTATAAGTTTTCAACTACAATAACAAAAACAAGTGAAACTAGGAAAAAAAAAATGATGAGAAAAGAAAAATAAAGAAGAAGAAAATAAAAGGCATAAAATATGAGAGAACTATGAAGGAAAAAATAAGAATTTGATTTAATAAAGTGAGGGCAAATATTTTGAAGAGAATTTTAAAAAAAAAATTAGAAAAAAATACCAAATAAATAAATTTTGGGCCTCATTTTCAAATTTTTTATATTTAATATATAAAATAAACCAAATGATGCAATATTCCCACTCCACAAGACACATTAAACACCCCGCTCCTATTTATAAATAATTGAAATACCAAAAACATCCATCAACTAAACCTTTATATCTCCCTCTTTGCTCACCTCTTTTACTCCCTTTTAATAAATGAAATGATACTTTCTCCGTCTTTCTTCCGTTAGCACATAAATCACTTTTATCTTCCCAAAATAAATATTACCTTCATATTAATTACAAATTCATAAGATAAATGAGTTTGAGACTATAAAAATCTTGGATGAACTTAAAACAGATAAGAACAATGAGAGACAGAGTGGACGAGCAAACCCATCATGTATTTTTCGCCATTCACGAGTGTAGGAATGAAAAGTGCACAAAATCTATTATTTTATGTATCAAAATAAACATTTAATTAGATGTTTGTATTATTTAATGATTCATATATATTTGTGCTTTACACTTTGTAGGTATTAATTCCAGAATGAGAAGAAAATAAATAAAAAAATAGCATTCTTGCTTAGTCACATGCCATGTCAGCATTCTTGCCCAGTCACAATCGCCACATCTTCATTGAAGAATTCCATGCCACATCTGTTGGAATTGAGTCGCATAAATGACAATATATCCAATGATAATCACATAAATAAAAATATGTGATAAATAATAATATTTTGAAAATTATAATTAAGAAATTAACTATAATTTAAATCAAAACTTAGAGGTGGGTAATCACTTCTTGAACATAGTTGAAGTCTTTCCTAGGTGCAATCGGAGCAGCACTATCTCCGGGATTCAACTAAGCCAGATTTAAAAATTTGTATGTTCATAGATTGATACCCTCTATGAACCTATGTATTCACCTCCGTCCAATCATTTATTCAAAAAAATATATAATTTAAGAAATTATATTTAAACACACATATCAATATATATGAATATTGAATGTACCCAAAGTTGGTCAAAATTGACGAAATTATGATCATATATAATTATGCAAAAATAATCATTAAAATATATTCATAATCATGGCCCTTATTAATTAACCCAACAATGCTTAATCCAAGCCCAATACCACATCCATTGGTCCAACTTCCTTAAACCCAATTCCTTAACCTTTAAATAAATAAAATAATTAAATTAAATATATTAATTACAAATATTTTACAATTAAATCACATAAGCATAAATATACTCATAGTCAAACAAATAACTCAATCACGGCATTCCACAAATCAAAATATCATATCAATTTAACAAGTAAAATACAAAATATAATTTAATTAAAATAAGATAATTAATCAAAACATCCAATAAAATAAAATAAATCATGTAAAATAAAATAAAAACAATTAATCTCAATTAAATTAAACCAATCATTTAAAATATTGTTTTAGCTTGTTGTACACTCCACAACTTTATAAGAATGGAGGCGCAAATAGATTAAATCTTTAATGATCAAACTATGGAGGCACAGACAGATGAAATATTTGAAGATGAGAACGATGATGTTCAGGTTAATGTGCCGCAATCTGAGTCGCGAGCAATGGATCAATTACGTGATCATATTGCTAATAGTATATGTAATACAATTCAGCACCCTTAATTTTGCATTTAAGTGTTTAACATGTTTTGACAACTATAATAACTACTTTATTTTAATTCTCTTTTAGGATTTGGATAATTGTATTAATTTCGGTCATTTTAACTCTCCATTTTAACTATCGTTTAGGATTTGGATAACTGTAATAACTTGTGCCAAGTATGCATTACACATTTTACTACTTCTATATGCAGTCATGTATGAGATACAGGGTGAAGGACCACCTTATGCATGTGGAAGGGGTCCAATGAATCTTTATACGGCTGGAACTCCAAAAAATTATGTATGTTCATTATATAGATGTCCAGCTTGGGAGGTTTAGAATCCATTGAATGCCATTTTTTTATACATATATGTTATTGTCACAGGGGCATTATAATTATATACGAGTGTTTGATGTTTTAGTCACATGCTCGTACATTTATATGGTTGGATGACATGCACTAACGTGTGCAAATCATGTGGATCAAGAGTCGAAAAATATAGTTGGTTGGATCACAAAGTCTATTAAATAGCTTCCTGCTTGGTCTACCTTTCGTGCCTTTTCTCTTAATTAAGTGAGTTTCTCAATTAGACCTCAGGAATGACTTGCAAAAACGCGTATCTGTCGAAGTCAAAGAGAGAAATAAAGCTCAGGAAGATTTTTGAGCTCACATCATGTACTATAAGGATAGGTGAGAAGGAAAGCCTTGTTGTTGAACCAAGCTATGAACCTATAATGGTTGAGTGGAATTCTGCTGTTATGCAAGCTCAACAATATAAGTAAAACTACATTATCTATTGGGGCTGTTGTTGTCTTACAATATGTGATAACCCTGTGGCCTAGTGTGTCGTGGGCAGGTGTGAGACACTGAAAGGCTACTATACTGGCGAGTTACGGGTGCACAATCCCACATCGATTGGGAAAGGAAAAGGTGAAATCCTTATATGTGTCACTCTAATTGGTATGAGGCCTTTTGGGGTAAAACTCAAGAGCAAAACCATGCGGGCTTATGTCCAAAGCGGATAATATCATACAATGTGGTGGAGTGGGTCGTTACAAATGGTATTAGAGCCAAACCCAGCCGGAAGTGTGCCGATGGGGACGTCGAGCCTCCACGAGGGGTGGATTATGATGACCCTGTGGGCGAGTGTGCCGTCAGTGGGTGCGATACACTAACAAGC